GGATGGAGCTCCGTAGAGACGTCCAGCGTTCTCTTAGTAATTCAAGAATCACTGCGCTAGGTGTGAAAACTAACTAATTGGACCAGCCGCAACAATGTGTGTGAGCGGACTTAATGTATCGCAAGTGAGTTGCGCGCGGTCTTGAAACAAATAGGTTGCAATAAATGAAACATTGTGCGCTCTTAGGGAGGAATGATTAAACAATGGCGGGCGCCGGGAATCAATATCTCGGCTTTAGGTGAAAATTTCACTCTGCGAAAAAATGCTGATAAATCCCGGCGATCGCTGTCCCGGTTTATGATGATAAAGTTTTCGATCGCCGGCCGGTGTGTGGATCGGGTGTCTCTGTGTACTGGGCGCACTTAGTTTGACCCTCCTTTTTGAAAAAGTGAAAGAACGAAACGCGTCAAAGGAGGATCTGCCTTCACCGCTTACAGCTGACACTCTGCCGCTGATTTTATGCTCGAACGACTCGTCTGTCTTGTAAGTGCATTTATGTATTTTAAAGAAATAAATCTTTTTTTTTTAATGACTGCACTTGGAGGATTCCGCCGCCTTTTCTCCCCCTCCTGGGAGATCGTAATAGGTTTCCGTCGCCAGCGAGAGGTGAGGGTGTCCGAAGTAGGAAGGAAGAAAAGCAGACCAGATCTTTCAGAAAGGAGGACGGATCGCTGGAAACCATCGGACTCTCCGGGTTATCCCCGAGTTGGAGACGTTTGAACTGACCGCTCACTAAGATCGGTGCCGGTATCCTGGTTAATTAACCCCGTATTTAATCCTTTGCTTTGAGAGGGATCAGAGTGCACGGAGCAGCACTGTATATGCCAGCGGTGGCGAACCTCGGCACTCCGGCTGTTTTGGAACTACAAGTCCCATGAGGCATTGCAAGGCTCTGACAGCCACAGGCATGACTCCCAGAGGCAGAGGCATCTTGGGATTTGTAGTTTTGGCACAGCTGGAGTGCCGAGGTTCGCCACCACTGGTATATGCGATCATTTTCATATGACTTAGTGTTCGCACTGTATTTAACCCCTTCATGACTGAGGCCCTTTTTTCAATTTTTGCACCCATGTTATATTCCACATTTTAGGCCTGAAAATGACGTAAAACCCCCCGACATTATATATTTTCTGAATGCCGAGACCCTATAGAATAAAATGGTGGTAGTTGAAAATTTTGATGTTG